GGCATAAAGGCAGGGCTTGGGCAGCGGGTGGGCTCCTGCAGCCAGCAGGACGCCGCAGCCTTGTCTGGGGGGAGGTGATCCCCACTGCTGGGAGAAGACCCGCTGCCCGGGCTGTGGCGGTCCTGCACCTTACGGGATACCTGAACACTGTGTTAGGCAGGACTGGCTTTACCTCCTTGACCTGCTTACAGAAGGCGCTTCGAAACAAATGCGCCTTTTCAGAAATTGCGGCACTTCAGATTATTTGAATTGGTCACGTGAAGGATTTAGGTGTATCCCTGATTCTCTGGGAAGGTATGTGGTTTCTGAATGTGGCCAAGGAAAGGTGAGCACTGGGTAGCTGTATGAAAGATGAAGTAGAAAATATAAAATACAACCTCTAACCAAATGGCATCTTCTCAGGAGTCTTTTTTTAAGTTATTCCATTGTGGGCCAGAGGCTGTAGCTTTCTGGCCAGACACAACAATTTCCTGGACAGAGCAGTTTCCTGTTAATCAAATTGAGCTGATTCCCTTTGTCTGATAAAGTTAGTATGTTTTGAGTAGCTTTTTCTACTGCTAGGGTCGGAAATGAGTGACATATGCAAAAGGGTGGTTTCAAAATCCCTTGATACGGTATGTGCATCCCAAGTGCTATGTCATTCATCTGCTGATTTCATTTACAGATCAGTAAATACAGTATGATACAGCAATTGGGATTGGGAGCCAAAACAGAGAAGAGAGGAACTGCCAGCAAAGGAGAAGGTAGTATATAACACAATGAAGAAGGATTCAATAACAGCCAGCTAGAGAATGGCAAAAGGGAAATGTGACAATTAGATTGACAACCAGCCAGATCCCCAGTCCACTGGGTTTGGAAGAAGGTAAACCACTTTCTTTTAATACCCTGTGCATCACTCTGATGAACATAATGGTACTGGTATTTATGGAGAGATTGCTCAAGCTCTTTGTGATACTAAGGGGAAAAGAAGAGAAAACAAACTAGGAAAAGAAATGGAGGGGAAAGTAAGTGGTGTAAAGAGTGAGGGCCAAATGAGTAGAGGAAGAAATAGATTTCCTACTGAATTTATCACTGAGCTTGGGGAAGGGTTTGTTTTAATTTAAAAAGTATTCAGCAACAAAGCATAGAACAAGAGAACATAGAATTTAAAGTCCAGTGTGTTTAGTCTTCCAGTGCTTCCTCAGTATTCAGGATACACTTCTGCTTCCAAATGCTCTGCTTCAGCAAAGCAGCAGCTTTATTTGTCAGTCAGGAAAGCAGGCCATGAAAATCAAGTGACAGTAAGTACACTGTGCTTAAGATAGAACATCTTTTGCTCCAGAATCCAAAATGCAACAAAAGGCATTAATAAAGTAAGTCTCCCTTTACAGTTCTCTGTAAAAGGTAGCACTACTATACTTTTTTTTTTTCCCTAAAAGGAAGTACAGGAAGCTTGAAACATTTTTTTAAAAGGAATATTTCTTAAAATTTCTGACTCTCAGTAAAGATCTCCTTATAAACAGCATATCCCTATTTAAGCATTCTTTAAAAGATTTGCATGTGGTTTTTTTCCTCCCTTTTCTATATTTGTGAGATTGTTTTCAGTGAGGGAAAAATGGACTGACACTAGCCATGATCTTTCAATGCAAATGTGTAACTACAATGCCTGCATCAAGCTCCACACACAGCAATTTGAGAATGGATCCATATTTATACAACAGTAACATTTATATACCAAATGCCATTCCATGGGCGAGGAGAGCAAGCCAAGAGAAGACAAAATATTTTCCTCTGGCTTCCTTAAAATTAAAACACTTTTTAAAATTAACTATGATTTTTCCTTCTCTGTATGTATACATGTTTGGGTCTGCCGCCTTTCTCCAAGTAATAACTTTCCTTGACCTGTGTAAGTCAAACAACGCCAAGGAGGAGCTTTCAAAAATACTAGATTCCTACCAGATATGTGAAAGTGGGCAGAAAAGAAAATCCTTATTAAAGGTGCTACTGAACTATAACCTCAGCACGTACTAGTTGATGGAGAGTGTTCATAGCAAACAGATAATATGAATAATGCAACTAGCTGAAGACTTAAACTGGTTTCACATATTAAGAGACATCAAGGAACTCAACCGTAAGCCATAAAAGCATGACTAGTTTCACTTCTCCTAGAGCTTTTGTGTTTTGCTGTTACTTTATCTCATGTGACCAGGTTTTATTTGCTGTCCTCTGTTACTCCTAGGTCTCTTTCAGGTTCACTAATTTCCTGGAAATTCCATGTGAGCCTACTTTGGAGAAATTTATTCCTGGGAGCATTGGGCCATATCTTCTACAGCATGATATTCTGCTGCTTCTATTCTCTCTAGGTTGTTTTGCCTGTAGTTTTTGTTACCTTTGGTATGTCTTTATTCTCCAAAGCTGGTATTAACTACAGATTTCATTAGCATTTTCTTAACTCTGTGGTTTTGGTCACTTTATTTCATCTGTCAAACACCATCCCTAGAGAATCGCATTAGGCGAATCAGCATAAATCAAAACTTTATCTTTTGTTATTCTCTATTTATGGTTCTGCAGCCTGTTTTAGATCTACTAGAAATCCCTTTCCTATCCCACCCCACCCTGTTATTTGTCTCAAAGTCATTTTCAATTAATTTTTAATCCAGAGTCTTGTCTGGTCAGCATAGTTAGTGAGAGTATGAATTTATAGCACACTAATGCCCACTCATCTAAATTCCACCCAGGGCCCGATACCCAGTACTTTCTGTTGGCGTGGTGCGTCTCGAGCCCGAGGGACAGCCAATGGCAAATGCTGGGCAACGCAGCTGCGGGGGAATTAAGGGCATCTGAATATAACACTTGCCGTTCACACAGTGAAAAGTAGCTTAGTTCAGCTTGTCTTTTAACACTGCTGGCAGAAATTAGAGTAGCTAATTCCGTCGGCAGAGAGCCTACAGAAGCTGGGATTTATGCTGGCTTCCAGGTTATTGTGTATGGTATATTAAAACTGAGGAGGCAGAAAGATACATAAGCTTGAAGCTGTAAACATCATTGCATACAAAGTGCAGATGGCTATGCATATCCTTTTTGGCTTACTGAAAAACACAAACTCAAAATAACTACAGCTTTTGGTGCTGACTATATCTCAACAGACTGGTAATATTTTAAATGAGGGCCATGTGCTTAAATGCTTAGACCTGCATGGTATATATTCAAACTCACTCTCTCCCACAGCCTTCTCCACTTCAAAAGAGATGAAGGGAGATCCGATTCACTGGTGAGATACAGAATAAAGAGAAATTATTAATCCTTTATGGAATTGTCTTCTTAGTAGATGTGTTGCCTTCTTTCATGTGTAGGTGTGAATGAATGTGTAGGAGAGAATTGATTTTGGCAGGAGCAGGGTAAAAGGCAGGTGGGGGGGTGTCCAGGATCACTGGGAATGGAGAATTGCTTCCTTGCACAGATGGCAGCACAGAAGAAATCACAGAGATGGGAAGGAGAGAAGGAAGAAAAAGGATCTCAGAGTGAGTAAGATTTACAGAACATTAAGTAAGAAAATGCATTCAGATCCCCAAGGTGAAAGAAGTGGTAATTCAAGTGAAAAAACACCACTTGAGCAGTGATGGTTCATAGTAACACATTCTTTTATTATTGCATAATTACTGACTGCTGGATGTTTGAAAATGCACTGACGTCAAATAACCATCTTGTAATGTACTACTGGTCTAAGCAGACCTTTATCTTTGTAAACCATAATTGAAGAGCAATCATTAGTCAGTAAGCACATAACCTACCCTATCTATACAGCCAGAGTGAGAACTGGTAAATAAATGACAGGGCAATAGGGAATTGACAACTGGCCGAATTAGGTGTGACCTTGTGTCTCACATGCTTCAGAGTTTGCTGGAGACTTGCAGACAATCACCCCCACTCCTGAAATACGTGGCGGTTAATGATGCTAGAATTGGAAAAATGATGTAGCCATTTTACCTTATCTAAGGCATTTTTGCCTTGCATAGTAAACTCACTAGTGATACGGTCTGAGTCCCTTTTCTGCTATGATACCTACAAGAGCTCCATGAGTTGCTGATGAAGGGCACGGATCCAGAATGATGAAAGCTGTCATGGTTGGTATTTATAATATTTAAAATATTGGAAACATATAGATACAAAATTGCATGTATCTATAGCGTTTATCTTCACTCACATTCTGTGTCATGTATCTTAAAAGTGTAAGCCCATTGGGTTAGGTGACTGCTGATACTGTTTTCCACTCAGTGCAGTGGGCTCAAGTTCCTGCTTTACAGTATGTGGAAATTAAATAAGAAATGTGGTAAGATGAGTCAGAAAAAAGCTAAAAAAATTAGTAAACAAGAACTTGATAGATCTTAAACACTTCATATTTATTGTACATTAAATAAAACAATTTCAGTTAAGTCGAGAGATTGATGGGTTGGATTTAGGAAATCAAAACTTCTAAAGGCAGATATGTTCAGCTTAAATGATCATTAAGTACGTATGTATTAATTATGTTATAGTAAAACCATATTCTGTTAAACAATTCTCAGGTGAATAAGATACATTATCAAAGAGGTATGTATTCCAAGGGTCTTATTGCACAGCTACTGGTTAATCCATGTACTTTCAGTCTGAGAAAGATATGCTTTGTACCACTGAGTACAAACTCTGACAGCCTCCTCATGTTTATTACACAGCTTCTCCTCTTTCCTCATTAAAAAACAGAACACAATATCAAACAGAAAATAAAGCTGAACATTACAAAACGTGTGTTGTCTTCAGTTCATTTCATTTCAACCCCAAAGCAATCCATGCGTATTCTTTCTTTTCAGTAAGAGCAGGTAGGGAAAACAAAACAACAAATAAGAAACAAAAAAAAAAAAAAGGAAAAAAAAAAGAAAAGAAAATTCCCAACCACACGTTTGTTCTGTCATTGCAAGAACTAAAATGCTGTAATTCTGCTACCAATTTCCAGCGCAGTGGGAGGAAACACTGTGGACGGACTCTCACTTCCCCTCAGTTTTGTCTGCCAGTACTTCACGCATATATGAATCAATGATATGCGGAGGCACTCCATCCATCAATAGTCTGAAGAACGAAAGCCCACCTACAGACAAGGAATAAGACAATCTTCAGATTGAAGGTCCCTGGAGCAAGAGCTTTGTATCTTTATTTTCTGGTGTAAGCAACGAAGTTTTAGTCAGTCCTATTGCATACTGCATTTTGAGATGGGATAAAATTCATCCCTGTTCAAAAGTCCAGCACAAGAATTAACCATTACTTAATCTCTGTACTATACAGAACTTTCCTGTCCTCTTGCGCAGGGTGAATTTCATTTCTAGGATGTCATCTATTCAGTCATTTATCTCACCCCATGCAGTAGTGTATGATAAACTTCACCTCAAATAACCCTCCTGGATTTCCATCAGGCTGGGTGGAGTATAGTCAGAGATGGAAGTCAGCCCAGAGGGAACAATGTAGAAAACACCTGATTACGATGAGTTGTGCAAAACATGCAGAGACATTCAAATTATTCTAGTGTTGGGTCTTACAATGGTCTATAAGTATTTTAGCAAAATATTTACCATGTTGCTTGAAAATAACAGCTGGGATGACATGTGCTTTATGACTGTGACTCAGCCACCGTGAGTAAAAAACTGAACCAAACCTATTTTAAATCACTGCTATAGTAGAAACCTAGGCTTATAAGAAAGCCATTGGAAGTACTCAATGTTTTCTTTGGTGTTCTGGAAAAAGGGACAAGGCAAAAGGTATTTGAAGAACATTTAATAATTTTAGCAATCCAAGACAAAATATTTCTTTCAGTGCCCAGAAAAACGTGTATGTAGTGTCTAATACACCAGCCAGAGCACCCCAGATCCCACTGATGTAGAAGTAGTAATTTAATACAAATAATCCACATTAGGAATGAAATTTCATGCCATTGAAAAAAATGTCAGGGAAACTAAACACATGGGTATTTCTGTTAATTTCATTGAAATCAAATGACATTTGGAAGGAACGGTGCGAAAAAGAGAAATATTTTGCTAAAAACATTAGTCTGCCCTTTCTCAAGGTGAAGGGTAGCATTTGTGGTAAGAAGGGTATGTACCATTACTATTGCTCTTACAAGTCTGCAGGAGTATTCTGTTCTGCAAGCTGCAAAACCACCCGCTAATGACTGCACTTACCTTCGGAGCCTTTTCTGGAACACACCAAAAGCTTTAAAGCAAAAAGTACACTGCCAGGATGAAGATATCACTGTGTCTGAATGCTTCAGCGAAATGCTACTGAGCTGATACTTACATATAGCACTTATCCCGAGTACAGATTTTAGGATTTTATAACCTTTATTAACACAAGGATTATCCAATTAAAGTGCTATTAGTTACTAGTGATCACGAGACTGCGCTGTCTCATTTAACACCGTCGTTGCAGAACTCTTCGCTCCCGACCTTAGGTAGATGCACAATACAGACAAAAAAAAAGCATGCTTTTTGGCATTCTTTTCAACTCATGTAGTGCAAGTTGTGATACGAATCATTCATTTTTAAATGAAATTAGCTGTGGAATAAATATTTCATTTATGTAGAGGTATATTCCTAAATGAAAATAACTGACTGTAAATGCAAAATTCTCTTTTATTACTTACATTTTATTCATGCTAATTAATCATGCTAACTCATGCACTGTTAAATTCAATTGAAATGTGCACTATTAGAAGGTAGTGGGATGTACTACTAAGAGGAATTACCGTAACAAGAAATTATTATAAAAATCTGGATTTATATGCATTAAAACTATCATGCTACTACTTTTAAAAAACATTTTCATTAAGTGAAATAATGAAAATCATGCCATACTAGGCAGACATTGTATGACCTGTAAACAGGCATAAGCTTCATATGCAAGAACCATATGAAAGCTTACCTTAGATGACAATATACATTCAAAAATCCTTACTGTGTAACTAAGGAAGAGAGAGAAAGAGAAGTAACAATTTAATCGCAAACACAAAAGTTGAGAGAAAATGTTGAGTGAAATTATGCTTACAATTATGTCAAGATGACGTTTTAATCCTTAGTCATGTAAAATATGTAGGAATAGAAGCACAGGAAGAGTAAAAGGTAGGGATCCAGTTCCACTTCAAAATTATCATTAATATGTAAAAGCTATATTAATACGTACAAGTAACTATAATGCCTGTAATTAGTCTAAAATATAGATTGGAACCAAATTATGCAACTGACATTTGTGATAAAAGTTTCCAAACATAGCTTCAAGGAAGCTAACACATATATATATATAGTATTTTCCACCAGGGGAAAAAAGCACACACATAACACTGAAGCATATATATATATGTTGAAACTCTATAAGGCAAAATAATCAAGTACAGACTAATAACATACCTGTGCACTAAAGTATGTACTTTGTCACATATCCACATTTACATTACTTAAAGCATGCTGTTTACTCTATAGGAGCCCTTACCTTTAATTAAACATTTTGACTCTATAAAACATCCATATATATGTATTTATATATGTGTATATATATAAGCACTCAACTTTGTGCCTATTGTAGCCATTTGAGATAAATACCTTAATACTTCAAACACTACAGGAACATTATCTAGCCTAATTTCTTAACATATTTTAGGTTTAAAATAGTAAATTTGGACGCATAATATACTGGAGACTAGTTTCTGGGCATCTCTGACATTCTAAAACTGCACCGCCTATATTCTGGATTTGGGCAAGGTTACAAGCAAACACATTTCTATAGAAAGAACCAAATTCTCTGAACCCCACTGAACCTGAATTTAAAATAACCTCCAGAGGAAATGGAGTAAAATTATATGCTTGTAGGTAAAAAGTTTCCAGTGATTTCAGTTGGATCAAGATTTCATCCTTAGATTCTGTAATGCAAGCTCAGGCATGGATTATCACTCTCAGCACTAACGTGTAACCAAAGACTATAATTCTGTAATAAAGAATGCCTTTTAAGCACAGTAAATGACTTTATGATACTTCTTTCAATAATTCTACAAGCTAACTGAGGGCTGTTTTTCAAATTTCTCTCTCCTGGAAATGTCTAAGTGTTCTGGTCAAAGGTAGTCATAATCATTAAATAAATTCTTTATAGGTACAGGTAGTTTTATGCCCAGTGGCATAGCAGAAATATCTAAAACCTTTTTAACTCAGATGTTAAATACCCATATTCTTGATTAATTTGGCCTTCTTTGCTCATGTGACATAGACATTGTATGCCATGAGACACTAGCTAGTTTAATCTAAAGAAGCAAATAAATACACACTTTGCATGCAGAAAATGCGTTTACATGTGGAAAGAAAGGAAGGGAATGAAATGGAATGTCCAGAGGAGTATGCTTATTATAAACCTGATTATTCCCCGCCAAGAAGAATGGTTCTCCTGGGTTAAATACTCCATGATATATCACTGCAGAATTAGAATATTTACAGTGGTATTTATTCGCATTTGAAATTCTTCCCAGTTGATCTTAACACCTTATTTTTTAATATTTCTTAAACAGCATCTTTGCTATCATTGACCTATTAGAATGATCACCAATCTTGATTTCACTCTTAAGATAAACATTCTCCAAAAACATTTGCTTCACGATGCTTTATCTGAATCTTTTCATTGACCTCAGTGAAGCTGATAAGGAATCAGTTCCTTAGTGCTTGTAATGAGAGATTTACAGCCATAGTTAGGGATCTACCTCAAACTTAAAAGATATATATTTTTAATTTTCCTTATATAATATACATATAATTAGATTCTGTGTATGCATCATCTTTCAAGATATATGAGCTAGAGTTATTCTTTTGTCTAAGATCTATTACATGATTTTTTTCGGCACATTTATATTTCCAAAAAAAGCCATTGTATGTGCAGTTGTACAGAGCAGCTCATATAAATGCCATCTTTAAGTTCACTCAGCAAAACTGAAAACACAAGAACGAAGTACTGTCTGTCTGAAATAACATCAGTAAATGCAAACCCTTTTTTTTTAGGACAGGATAAGAATTTATTATTTTTATTTTTTTATTATTGTGCTCATAATTATAATTAATTATTTTTCAAGAAATGAGCGTTAAATTTAGTAACAACTAAGGGGGTTAATTTGGCACTAAAATGCTGTAAGTGAATGCTAAAAAAGTAGAAAATTGTAGCATACTGATGGTATTCATAGCCAGAGTATTCATAGCTACTCAGTTGTTCAAATACTCTGCAAAATCAGAGATCCTAGACTGTTCTGTGAGCAGTTCTATGACATTCCTAGAACTGGGCTTATATATATGCATGATAAATTTCAGATCTCCAACACCTTAAAAATAAATGAATAAAATAGATTCTAGCCGACATAAGGAAAATTCACTTACTGCCATATATACTGTTGCATGGCATAGAGCTCTTTAGCATGACTTACTATCCAAAGATCTGTAAGAATAGCACTGTAGCTAGTGCTACATTCACCAGATAGGCAGCATAGCCTTGATCCTGTTGGGCTTATTCAGGCAACATTCAACTGTATCTCATCATTTTACAAATTCAAACCTTGATTGTTACTTGCTGGAGTAAAGCTGAACCAGTTTAAAGCTATACATATGAAAACAGACACACATACACACACACTGCAATCCATTTCCAGTGAGTCAGAAATCCGTAACTCTTTGTTCTGCGTCAGTGTGATGAGCAGTCATCCAAAGAACCCTCCTAAATGAACAAACAGGCTGGGAAACTTAAGAGAATGATAATTCAACACATAAGTCAATAGAAGAGTGAAATAAGACGCAATTATGTTTTTATGCTCCGGCTGTTTAATACTCATTTGCATTTGTCTGTATCGTATAGCAAACCCTGAGCCTACCCTGGTTTGCCAAGCTACAGCTGCTGTATTCACTTAATCCTATTCTCTTTGTATTCATCAGCTGAACTGCCAGTCATGTTAAGAGTGTCAGCACTGAACCCTTACAACAGCTGTCCTGCGTCTAAGCCCTACAAATTGCTAGTCTGAGCAGTCTTCAAAAAGGAGTCTAAAGTAATGGCTAAACCTGCCAGGATGGAGAGAGGGATCTCAGCAAAGGTGACCGCTCACAGCCCAAACCGTTGGGAGAGAACCACAATACCAAGCCTGGTGGGAGGGAGTGGGACTGCACCAGGTGGTGGTTGATAGGAGATTGGGTTCAGAAAGCAACCATTAACTAGGGGAGGTGGTGGTTAGGTTAATGAAGCAGCCCATCACATAACTAAGAAGAGAGAAACAACACACAGCCCAGGTGGGATCCTAACAGCCTGCATTTTTCAGGACTTCTTCCAGGTGTGATGCAAAACTAAAGTACTGCTCTGAGCAAGATGTCTATGGCATAGTATTCCATTTTTTCAGTTGATCTTTTAAAGTAAATATGACTTTCTTTGAGAAGAAAGGCAGCTTTTTGAGTCTAGAAATGTCTGTGCTACAAGCCTTTTACACCCACCCTCAGCGGTGTGGGAGGTTTTGTTTAAAAATGGGAAAGGCTGAACTGAATCTTGTCTAAGGGGAGTTATTCTTACAGCCTCGTTCTCACTGTAGCAAAGGTATGTTCAGCTGCAACCCCAAAATAAGGTGCCAGAGGAATTGAGACTGTAGGATGTGCTGCAACCCTCAGGACGTGATGTAAAGCCCATGCATCTATCCAAGGTTTCTTGTGAGATGAATGATCGGGGGGATACTTGAATCTGACTGAGGTGCTAGGATGTGTTGGCAATGTTAAGAACTGAGTCAAAATCTCAGACACACAGAGCTGGCAGCAATCTTGAGATGTCATTTAGTGCATATCATAATCCTAACAAATTGTACTGCTGTCATTCTTCTAAGCTGCTCTTAAAGTACCAAAGGCTGTACAACCTCTGCAGGAAATCTGCTCTAGTGCTTCACTGCTCTGACTGTTGTCTGCCTGTTTGCTGCCATGTTGCCAGATACGATTTGTTGGTTTTAATCTTTAATGCAGCCATTATGGGAAGAATCAGCTGTGAATGGGACAGGCCTGGCAGCCTGTGAACATAGCGTATCATGTGCTCTCCATTTCAGAACACTACTCAGAAAACTGGACTTATGAAAGTTAAATAAACATTTGTCAGCAAAAATCATCAGGGACTAGCTGTACCTAGTAACCACTTTAATAAACAGAACTGTAGCTTTTTTTCCTAGAGACATTATTTCTAATTGACTGGGAAAGGATCTAAGCATTCTGAGCCTATTTCAGATACCAGTCCACAAATGTCCACGAATGTAAGAAATTAAATTCCCCATCAGTATTGATCAAAGGCAAAAATCTATCCACACTTCTTTCTTACAAACACTAACGTAGAGCAGCTTCCACTGCTGGTGAACAATTTCTTGGAAACTGTTGCATATTAAAAGAGAGCCTGAATGAAGACATGGTGTTTGTATTAAGCTTCAAAACCAGCAAACTAATTCATCCTGATATTCAGTGAAAAAAAGTTCCAAGATCAACAGAAGCATCTATATTTCACAACAGCTGGACAGAGGATTACTGAAGAGTAATATGTAATCCATGGCAACATTTAGAGTTTGGACTTCCTAAAATGGAGAGATATTAGTTAAATTATTTCTTATGTTAAAAATGTTTCACAGTATTCTGCACATTATATGTAAAAAATTCTTTGTAAAACAAAGGACAGAAATAAACAGCTTCTCGTATTTAAAATGTAGAATTTGGTTGTACTACCAGCAAAGTGCTGAAGACTAAGAAGTTGCAGCTGAGTGTAAACGCGTATAAGAACTTTAGGGCTTGGGGACTTCGGAAGTTTAATGAAATAGCAAACTAACTTGGCCTTTCAGTATAAAAAAAAAAGATGAAGCAGCCTTCTCAGGTGATGAGGTCTTCTGTTACACTGTGAAATAGCAAGTTTGCTTTGATTAAGGAAAACAGTCATACTTCCAGGATGAGAACATCACCTTTTAAACACAGTATCTTAAAAATAAATAATGAAAATTAAGAAACATATTATGCATATTTTCATTACATTAGTTAAATGTTCAACTTCATAGACCAAACATTTATTGCAATGGCTTCTTGCTAGCAGATTTGAGCTGTGGGACAAGATACATCAGAAAATACAGAAAAAGGAAATCGAAATCCAAAATAAACACAGTACAATCCATAAGGATATTAAATATTATGGGTTTCATTATAGACTAGCATGATGGAAAAGATATAATTAGGACCATATTCAGCTAGTCTAAATTCCCTCTAAATTCCTGAGTTAGACACTTCCTATCAGCTGGCTTTAGACAGCTTTCCTTACTTATAACCCCAAATTATTTTCTTCAGAAATACTTAGCCTATTCCACAGCTGAAGCAAAAGCCTTCGGTGGGAGCTAGTCCAGCTAAATATGACCCTGTCTTTTTCTAGGAAGTAATTTTCTGAAAAATATGGTCCTGAGATTATTCATTAGTAGTCCAATCCAAATCCTATTGCCATTCCCGATATCCCAGTCAACGCTAAACTACCTGGAATACACAAAATGTATCTATTAATGAAAATAAAGATATGTCTTCAATTGTAGAACCTACTTCGTCCTCTTT